AGCCCCAATCATACACCAAGCACAGGCACCAGTCTGGGTAGAAGCTCTTCACAGCCTTCACAGCAACAAAGATTCTCAAAAATGGTCTCAGGTCCTATTCCAGTAACCTTTCCTGACCAGCCCTGCCTCCCCTGGCCATAAAAGCCCAACACCCAGCTGGAGAAGGGGAGGCTGGCTAACCACCAAGACGAGCTGGGTACTCTAGACCCTTGTTCTTTGGCCTGGTGGTCCGGGTCACACCCTGGGAGTCTGAGGCCTGTACATTAACCACACAGGTGGCTGTGAGAACTTGTCAAGAGCCTCTGTTCAGTAGGCCATAAACCACTAAAGGCATGACAGACAGGTCCAGCCAGACACTGCACTATGGCCAGCCCCTGCTATTGTTCTGGAGGCCTCTGGCACAGACGGACCCACCAGGGGACTCTAGGAAGACAGAACCCAAGGATACCACCACCTGCCTCGCCTCAGCACGTCTCACAGCTATAACCTTACTCTTCTTATCCAAGGGGTGCAACAGGGGGAAGAAGCAGGAGGCGAGGAAGCCGTGCTCGTCCCTGGGCAGGCACAGACCGGGCTCCGGCACATGGAGCCTGGTGGGCTATCTGCAGGCCCCACGCCATGGCAGCGCGGCTTCTGAAGGACAGTGCAGGGCTCACCCCACTGCCTCACAGCTTTGCCAGGGGCATGAGGATGCCTCTACCAGGGGTTGGCAGAGGAACAGACAAGGCACCGGATGTCGCTACTGCCCAAACCAATGGTCAGGCAGAGGCTGGGGGCCACCGGGGGTTGCCAGAACCTAGCGCTCTAGTTCAGCTCTGGGTAACCAGGGGTGGGAGCCCTTGGACCAGGAGCTCAGCCCTCAGGGCAGATGGGGTGGGCCCTCTACCTCTCAGGACTGCCTGGAAGCCCAACAGGATAAATTGGTGGAGAGCAGGGGAGCAAAGCATCCTGAGGTTCATGTCTTGCCTCTAGGTAAGAGTATTCACCAGCCCTGCTCGGAGAGGGGGATGAGAAGCAGCTAGGATGTCCTAACGCTGATGAGCCTTTGAAGCTGGCTCTCACTGGGGCGAGGCTTTCCACGTGCAGGGAAGGAGGAGGTAAGGAGACCCAGGAGGACGACCCCCCGGAATGACAGGCAGTCACTTCAGAGCAAGTACCATTTCTTTAGTTACAATGTCCAAAGCAGCAGGGTACCAAGGGGAGTGTGAAAGCAGGAAGCCCCAGTACAGGCAACAAGAGGGTGTTACTATCTGTAGAAAACTGAAAAATGGTAAAACTGACTTGGTCTGATTTTTACTGTCACCACATAATGGCAATTGTAAACAGTATCTGTGATAAAATGCTCCTCCTGCAGGGGCTGACGGCGCCCATCAGCCCGCCTTCAGATGCCATCAGCCCCAAGGGAACGAACCTGAAGACAGTCTCTGGGCTTCTGTGTGGGATTCTGGCATCGCCCAAAGCTTGGGTCCCAAAAACTTAAGTTGCGGGAAACTTTTCTCTTCAAGTTTCACCAGAAACCGCAACATGGAACGGAACAGCAGGTACAGTGCGTGCTCTAGGTTCAAACTCCAGCTTCGCCACCAACTAGCTGCAGGAAAGCTATTCAACCTCTGTCTCAGGCTGTTCGTTTATAAATGGTGATGACCCTTCAGAGTGCTGCTGTCAACCTTAAGTGAGTTAAAACGGTAAAAACTTAGAACAACGCCTGGCACAGATATTACATACAGGTTTACTGCTCTTAGTACAGCCTCTTCACTAGGTTGAGCACAGGAGGCATAAGCACAACCACCCCCAATAAGCAAGGGAGGCTGACTTACCAGAATCTGCCTAAACCCATCTGCCTGCGCCCTGTTTCCAGGTAAAATCCCAGAAGCAGAGATGCTTCCCTTCCCTCCTACCAATAAAAGCCTGCAGACAGAGAACCACAATATCCCAGATTGTCAGATGCTTTTAATGGCAGAGAAGAACAAAGGGGAGGTGCCCGAGTCACACGCTGTACCCCAGAGTTCCTTCCCCTTCACCTAGAGTGCTAACCCTGGCCCTGGTCAGGATGGGCCGGTCTGCCCTGGATCCAATACACAAGCAAACTGGGGCTGGGTGGGCAGTGAGGCGCCAAGACCCCTGGGCCAAGCTGCAGCCCCTCTAGCCACCATTAATCCCTGCCTTTTCATAGCTTACCAGTAGGTTGGCAAAAAACTCCTTTAACTCTTAGAAACTTGAACCTCCCCCCACAACTCAAGATTCCAAATACCACCTGTCCCCTCAGGGGGTCCCCCAATGAATAATGACTGCAACTTAGAATTACCTTGCATGATAAAAGTAAAGTCTCCATTTTCAAAATGGAATATGTTTTCAAATCATATATTCCCCTCCCAAGAAACACTGAACTAGCCATCCCTAAAGAATCACTAAGACAGACAAGCTTGGGTCTGAGGCTCAAAGGCAAGCCTGCCCCCAGCAGGGTATATGTGCTGTACTACTTCACCTTTGGGGGCTCAGGCACCAGCCACGATCTGCTTGGGGTAGGGTAGAGCCTTAGGCTGCAAGGGACATTAAGTTCCTTCCCCTACAGACCCACCCCTTAATTCCTCCTGACCTTCCTTAGCTTTCAAAGGTTATCAAAGCCACTAACATGTCTCCTTCCCAAGTGGCAGAAAAATTTTAACTTCCCCCAAGCTTGCATGATCTTGTGCTCTTCGTAATGTGGCCGTGAATACTGGTGCATTGTAGCAAACTGCTGTTAGTCTCCCAAACAAGCCCTGTGGCTCTACTCTCCACCCCCTATTTTTATACACGCTATTTCCTCTTCTTGGAATGCTTTTCCCACCCTCACAGGTCTGACAACCTCCTATTCAGCCACATCTGGGGTGGGGGTGCTGACCTCTAACCTGTCTGTGCACCACCGTATCACTTGGTGATATCCCCTAATTTGATCACATACCATCACTTTCTGGCAAGTCTCCATCTCCCAGTCTGTGATTTTTCACCTATATTCCTGACCCCAGGTCCAGAAAAGGAACCTAATGCTTACAATACAGATGGAGCCCCCATGGTAGAGTGGGCAAGCAGGGAAAGTCAAGGCTACACAAAGCAGCTTAAGACTAGCAGCCCCACGGATACCCTCTCCTGGCACCAGGAAGCCTAAGTAAGCCCTTTCTCCAGAGACCTAACACCTTTAGGAGTTGAGGTCTTATAGTGGGCAAGTAGGGTTCCTTAGTTTTCTAGGCTTGCTGTAACTCATCTCCAGCAGTCACCTGGGAAGAGCCTGACTGGGCCAGCCATGAGAGTAAACCAGCACTGCCAAGGCTCAGTCCCCACACAGTGCATCTTGGGTTTTGCAGAATGGACTGCCTAGAGAGCATCTAAGCAAAAGGAAGGAATTTGGTTCCAGTTCAAACCAAATGCAAGATGGAATTCCAGCAGAAGAGCTCTCGGCCCACTGTTCAGAAGGCTAAGGAGGGGAGGGGGCCGATCCTCGTGCCTAAACTGACTAGAGCAGACGCGGAGCTCCAGGTCCCCAGAGCCCTTAGTTTTAGACCTGTTGAACACAAGCCCATGGCTCTCCGTCAGTGCCAGCTGCACTGACTCCCCAAATCTCCACTGTGCTGTATGTAGCCCATCTTCACCCCCAAGGAGAAAGAGCAAGGACTCCACTTCTTGAAGATTCTGCCCTCTCAGAAAAAGCATGTAGAAAAAAGCAACCAATACCTCAGATGCTTTCCCTGAACCTTATCTTGGCCACATGGGTCTTCCTTCCCACTTCAAAGGGGCGGGTATGAAGGGCAGCCCAGCCTCTCGGATGGCATGAAGGCCCTGCTGGAATCCAACTGCTAGCCTAGTGGCATTCTGGGTCCTTGCACAGCTTCACTTGCACCCTTTCCCTCCCCCAGTTTCAGCCCTCAGGGGGCAAGAAAAGATTCCTCACACACCTGCAAACCTGTCACCCTCTCCCAATCCTCAGGTGGGATTCTGAACAACCAGGGAGTCAAAATGGGCTTAAGGTCACCAATGCCAAGGGCCTATCAGCATCGAGGTACAATAAGGGACAAGGTCTCCAGGAGCCAAAACCACCCCACACCACACCAGTGGACAGATGGCCCTCCCTCGCCATCCTTCAGAGTGAAAAGTTGTCTATTCTGCCCTGCCCCCAAAAGAGCCGGATCTAGATTCTCAAGATGCCACATCATTGGTGGACTGGGGCTGGCAGCAGGCCTCTGAATTACTAAAAGTGGGAGCTGGCAGTGTGACCCTCCCACCAGCCCTCCCACACGGAGAAGCCCAACCCAGCAGGGGGCCATTGCCGCCATTCTGCACCAAACCTATGGCACGGCCGGCCCACCGGCACCGCCACTGGATTGGAGGGAGGTAGCAACGTCAGCCACACTAGGGGCTCTGCGGTTTCTCCCCCAGACCAAGGGGAAGGGAGCTCAGGGTGGATAACTTGAGGTGGATAAGGCCCTTGGTTTCCTGGGCAAGGGCATGCCAGGGCGCGGCAGGAAGGGTCTCTTAGCCCTGGAGTGACACAGCAGAGGCCAGAGGCCCTTTGAGGGAGCTGCGAAGCCTGACCCCCTTCCACCCCAGTTCTTGTCTGTGCGGGCCTGCTCCCGGTCTTCATTCGCTGAGAGCCTTAAGGCTTACATCCACCTTACCCCACACACCCTTCCCAGTTCCTCCCTCCCATTGACCACCCAGCTACTCGTGATTCCACGGAACCACCTCACACTCCCTCCTCTTAGCACATGGCCCGTGGACAAGATAATGCCGCCTCTCCTGGCACAATCCCACCCAGGCCAGCTTTGGGGTCCTGAGTTGGCTGCCAGGGCAAAACTGGAGGGAGGAACCGGGAACTGATTATTTTTAGACATCTCCTTCCCAACTTAACTGCCAGCCTAAGTTCTGGGGCTGTGAGGAAAGCTCATCCATACCCCCATGACTACAACTCTAGTGAACCAATGTGCCGCACTGCCGGTCCCTGTCTCCAAGGTCACTGGGAGGGGTCAGGGTGGAAAGTGCACGGGAAACGGTGCCGCCCGCCCGCCGTGCTAACCCCCCTCTGTTCCTTCCAGCATTGGCGGGAGTCGCGGCCATGCGGGAGAAGCGCCTCGGAAGAGGGCAGCGAGCCCCGCCGGGAGTGGAGAACGAGGGACGCGCGGGCAGCAGGCGGGGGGCGGACTCCGCGCGGCTCGCCCACCACGGGACGCACGGCCGGCGGCGGCGCGCGGCCCGCCCTGAGCCCGGGAGGGCGGGGAGACAATACCCGCTCGGCGGGGCAGTCCAGGCCGCTCGCCACCGCTCGCCCCCGCCCGCCGGACACGGGCTGCTCCTCCCCGGCCGAAGGGCAGCGGAGGGAAGGCGCCGGGAGCGATTGCCAGACTGACCCCGCGCGGCGCGGAAGGCCCGGAGTGCCCGCTCCCCCGCCCACCTCCGCGTGCGCTCCGACCCGGCGAGTCCCGGGGCCGCAGACCCACCTCCTCCTCCAGGGTGCCTCCGGAGCCTGAGCCCGCGCCGGTGCCCGTGCTGGTGCTGTGCTCGCCGTCCGGCTTCAGGCTGCTCATGGTGCGGGGGGTGGGGCGGGGGTGGCGAAGGGAAGGGGACGCGGAGGGCGAGCGCGGCGCCTGGCCCCGGCGGGGATGTGGGAGGGGGCGCGGTGAGCAGTGCGCTCCGGGGTGCGGGGCGGGGAGGCGGTGGGGGGCGCGCCGGGCGGTGAGAGGGGCCGCCGCGTCGGGCGGGGGTCACATCAAGTTTGGCGGGTGCGGGAGGCGGGGAGGGGGTGCGGCGGGGGAGGCACTGGGAACCGGAGCCGAGCCCGAGCGGCCGCCGCCTCCGCCTTTTCACTGCGACCGGCGAGAGTGCCGGCGGCGGCGGCGGCGGCGGCGGCGGCGGGGGGCGGGCGCCGGGCGGCGGCGGGGGGCGGGGGCCGGAACCGGCCTCAGCTGGGGCCCGGCCAGCCCCCTCCCCGCCCTCCTCGCGGTCTCCGGGGGAACGCGCAGCCAATCCCCGCCGCGCACTGCGGGCTCGCCCCGGGCCGGGCCGCGGCGCGCCAGCCTCTGGTGGGGGCTTTTCTGCCTCTCCGTCATCCCTCACTCTTCTTTTCCCTTTTCCCTTCTCACGACAAGTTTTAAACTTTGATGAACTCGCCCAGAGAACTTTCTTAAAGGGGCCGCGCGCACCGCTGTGTCGTAGCCCGCGGGAGGTGGAGTTGGGTGCCGGTAACCCTTCTCCAAGGCATCCCGGCGCCAGCGGCCCCACACGAGGAGCACTCCAAGCGCGGCTCCGGGCGCTGGTTTCAGGAGACCCCTTGTACCCTGATCGGGGGTTATGGGGTGCCCACCGCACTCATTTCACCCCCAGATGCAGCCACCCAGTCCCCGACCACGCTTTCCTCCCTCCCCCGAGTGCAGGGCTGTTACAGGGTTGGGGGCTGGGATTGATGGCCTTCAGAGGCCGTATACCTGAGCTTCTGCGGTTGGCGGGCGCTGTTGCTGTTTTGCTGCGTGACCTTGAGGAAATCACTTCCCCTCTCTGGCCTCAGGCTTCTATCTCAGAGGATGGGTCTTAGATCTCAAACTCCCTTACAGTTCCCAGTCACTGAATAGGACACAGGGCGGGAAGAAGAGTCTTTGGGCCCCAAATGGACATTAGGGAAGGGGTAATCCTGGTGACCGAGAAGATTCCATTCGCCTGCCCCAAAAGCCTCACCCCAGCTTTTGGGTGCTCTCTTCCCTCAGCTTAAATACTGCTCTCCACCACCACTCCTTTCCTCTCCTCCCATTCAGAGCCGGAGGGCTGGGGGAGGGGAAAGCAGCCTCCCGGCTGGGCAGGGCCTTGGCGACTCCCCAGCAGGGTCTCTAGAGCACCGTCCCCGGATGAGTTCTCTGCTTGAAGTGTCAGCCCCAGCAGCCACTTTGTAAAATCCCGTGCCACTTTGGGCAGCGGTTGGAGCGCAGCAGCCCCAATCCCGGGGAGGTACCGGAAAACTGAGCCAGTCCCCGACGCCTCTGACCTCGAGCTGCGCCCCCGGAGATCCCTGCGGAAGGGTCCATAGGGATTTGGGAAGACACTGCCCAGAGGTGAGGGATCCCATCTGGGATCAGGAGTTTCCTGTACCTAGTTTCTCTCCTGATTTTACCCACCAAACCAGGTTGTAGCACCTGGGTTTTAAGATGGGAAGCAATGCACATTGTCAGTGTAAAGGTAAGATTTGGTTTTGCAGCCCTGAACCAGTTAGGATCCCAGACGTTGGACAAGTGACTCAACCTTTCAGAGCCTCAATGTGCCTACCTCTCAATAGTGTTAGCACTACTCTACAGGACTATTGGGTATGGAAGTATACAGTACGCCTGTGATTTAGTCTCCCTAACAAGTTATAATCTCCTTTGTCACCTGCCATTTCTCAGATGGGAAAATTGAGACCTAGAGATAGGTGATATCTTTCTCAATGACATATCCATGCAGTAAATAATTGTTGAGTACCTGCTGTTAGCAGGGGAAGCCCTGTGTGCAACCCCAGAAGCACCCTGCTTTCCCGTTACCCTCAAAGCCAACACTTGGTCCAAGCCCTAGTATGAGGGAACTTCGTAGGAATTAGGCACTGCCATTAGTGACAGGTGCTTCATTTTACCCAGAGTTTTCTAGGTACTTCCAGCCTCTGGTACCTCCAAATGGAGCCAGCCTTGTGAACTGCAGATATCCTGAGCATCTTTCAGAGGCCTCTGAACCCTGTTTCTATGTCCCACCCTACCCCCAGCCCCTCCCTAGAATAGATATTCCCAGCAGGCCTATCTCCGAATTTGACTCTGCAGTATTCTTTCTCCCCACCTGCCATCCAAATATCAATCCGCATCTTCCCCTCCCTTAACATCCTACTTCAGCTCCACTTTTCTTCTGGAGGAAAAGCCTGGCCAGTTTTCTAAACTCTGGCATCCTCTAGGAGTTCCTTTGAATTTTTCAAGAAAAGGATTCTCGACTTGTCCTTCAGGTCTCCATTTTATAGGTGAGGAAGCTGAGACCCAAAAGAGTGACAAATGATGCAGGATTCACAGTTGGCCCCCCTCACTATTCTTTCCTGATGTGAAACTGATGATTATATTTTAATAATATATACTACTTTTCTGATCATAGAAATACATGGTCACCCTCAAATAGTTGAGAGCAATAAACTAGTTTAGAAAACAATCAGCCATATAGAGAGCAAGTTTAATAACATTTCCCTTTAGACTTTTTGCATATTTTTTTTCACTGTGGAACAGTTTTGGCACTCCTTTTTTTTTTTTTCCTTAAGCTTTTCATGAACATTGCTTTTCAGGTTCTTCAGTCATAATTTTTAATGATTGCTTGACCCCTATTAGATGTGCCATAACTAATCTCTTGTTGTTAGTTATTTGCATTACTTCATTTTTGCCTTTTTAAGAAACACCTTATATAAGGACTCATTATTAGTGCCTCAGAAAGCTTCTCATATGTGTGACCGGCCCTTGAGCACTTGGGAGGCAGCAACTGCCTTATTTCTCTCTGTGGTAGCTGTCTGTATCCTCCACAGCCCCAGGAATGGGAGAATCTCTGGCCCCAAGGATTTGGAGATCATACAAAACACAAAGCTCCCACCCAGCCAGGCATAAGTACCCAGCATACGTACCCATTGATGCCTTGGGGTTGTTGCAAATGGGCCTGGAGAAAGAAGAGGCAGGGTGTACAACTCTGGCAGACTGCCTGGAGTAGGGGGAACTTGTATCTTTGTCTCTCCCAACTGTGGCCAATAGCCCAGCCTCTAGTATCATCTTAGTGTCCTCCTCCTCCCCCAATGCCAGGTTTCATGTCACCTCTGAGCTTCTCACATTCTGTTCCCTTTGCCTGGAACTGCCCCCCTTCCCCAGCTTCCTGACCTTCCCGATTGCTCTCAACAGGGCCTTCTCTGTGTCCTCTTGAGCCTGGGAATCCCTTGTCTTACAGTTTCACCTATCAGGGGGGAAAATCCCTGACTTCCAGAAGTGCCCACAAAACTCGCTGAATGAATAGAACCTCACCCTCAACTTCTCAGCCTAGCCTCCAGCAGAGAGCTTGGTCAGTGGTAGGCATTTGCAGTAGTAGGTGTTCAATAAATCCTTGTTGAAATAATAGCCATTCCTGGGGCCTCTGGGTTACCTGGAGCCTGTGGCCTTCTCTCTTTGATTTACTGTATATACATTATCCTTTGATGTTTCATTCTTATGGTAAGGAAAAGAGTCAGATGGCCTCATTCCTGAGAAACACTGCCCTGGGACCCAGCATCCTAATGGTGTGCCTGGCTACTTCAGGGCAGGACCCCCATTCTAACCCCAGCTCCCCCACCATCAGGAAGGCCTGGGCAATAAGAAGGAAGGTAGAGAGGGTGACATTGAGGCCCAAGGGCTGGAATGTATCTAGGTGTATTTTCTTGGCATTTATAGGCTTAAGCTCCACTTGGGCACAAGAGTTCTCGGGGAGGGAAGGGGCAGAATGTTGGCACTTATAAGGTACCTACTCCTTCCTGCCCCAGGGATTTGCCTTCTCACATAATTCATTGTTCCTGCTATCCCTACTTACATATTAGAAAACTGAGGCTCAGAAGTATTAGGAAAACTCACCTAGCTACTGGTGGGCAGAATGAAATGGTGCTGCAGTGGGATTCTGATTCTATGACCTTGGGCAAGTTACCCGTATCAGTCAGTTTATCTGTAAAATGAGAATAGTAGTGCACAACTTCAGGGAGGTGTTGTGTAAGGTAACTAAGAGCTCATGGTACCCTCTTGGTGGCTGTGATCATTGCTCATGATCCTACTGCTAGTTTGAAGGACAAGGTCAGAGTGGCGCAGGTCAAGATCAGAGACTTGGTCATTTCAGCCCAAAGTTCCCGAGCTGTCTCCTCTTGCCTTCTTGCCCTGGGCCGTAGAGTCACCTAAATCTTAGGTTCGAATCCAAGGCAAATAGTATTTCCAAAGAACCTTTGCCGGGGAGACCTGGGTTTAAGTCCAGATGATGGTGGTAATCTGTGTGACCATGGGCAGGTAGTTTAATCTCTTTAAGGCATTGTTTTCTCATAGTAAAACTGGAGATGCCTTTCAGGCTATCAAGAATGTTACCCAGGCTTTGGTGAGTGTTAAGTAAGATGCTGGCTCTGAAAGATCTTTGAAGGCCTCAAAGCCCTAGGGCAACAGGAGGGATGATTATACAATCAGCAAAGGAATAGAACCAAGAATTTCATTTCAAACTCAGCCTTCCCAAGAGACAGTGTTCCCCACCACCCCTCTGCTCGTCCCCCTGCCCACCACCACCACCACCAAAAAATAAAAAAGATGTTATTTCTTCTGTCCTCAGAGGGCTGAAAATTAGGGGAGGTCCTGAAGACAAGAATGGTATCTTTTTCATCTTCAAATCCTTAGTGCCCAGACTAGTCCTGGTAGAGGGGTTTGGAAAAATACCCAAGAGACATATTTTTATACCAACATGTCAATGACTGCATGTCCCCTCTTCCCAGATGGGAGAATAGGATACCAGGAATCTGAAAGGGAAGCAGAAGATTGAAGAGCAATAGTCAGAAACCCAAAAGAGGTGTCTGGGCAGGCCAAAGTTTCCTAGCCTGGGCTCTGGGTTCCCAACTTAACAACTGTATCTCCACAGCCACAGCCCCTGCCCTACCTCTAGTTGAAACCCGACCACAGGGCCAGTGGTGTTCACAGATGGTGAAACAGGTTCACTGGCTGAAATAATTTACCTGGGGTCTCACAGCAAAGCACTGAGTTCATTTTATACTTTCTATTTAATTTTAAAAGTAGTTGGCTTGGAAATTTTCTAAGAAAATACCAAACTAATCAACGATCTTTTCATATAGAGTCCTTAAATCATCCTTTATTCCTCAGAAAATCTGTGTGTTCGAAAAAGAAAAAAAGTGTTTTAAGTTCTGGCAACAATTAAATGGCACTTTCTAAATTTCTACTTGTTTTGAGTCCTTCCCAGGAAGCCAAAGGTCACTGAGAATGCCACTCTGACCTGCCTCCCTGCCTGAGCTGCAGGTCTTCTGGAGCCTGGGAGGGGACCTCCAGGCCAGACGAACTCTGCAGAATTGCCCAGCATGCCCAGGAATTGGTCCCACTGGGCAGAGTTTCCAGGAGAGACCAAGGGGCTGAAATTGAAAGTAGGAATGGTTGCACTTGGGTCCAGTGAGGCAAGTGACAGTCGTTTGCGGTTTGGGGCTCTGCATGGAATGGGGTGGAGTTGGGTAAAGAGGGGAGATAACCTGGCTCTACCCTCAGCACTGAAGGTGAAGAGTGCCCTCCATCTTTACGGTGTTTATAAGGAGAAGGGAGTAGCTGCTCTCATTCTCTTTAAGGCCTTAAGGATTGAAGGAAGCAGTAGGGGTGGAAAGCAATGCCTAATCCATAGGCTTTCCCTGTGGTGGGTGTTGTGGCTTTGCGAGTCATAGAATCTGTGTTAGGAGAGGCCCTAGAAGTTATCCAAGCCACTGGACCTTATTCTTGGCTGCAGACCAGAATTGCCTTTTGAAAAAGACAGATGCCTTGGGCCCATCTGAAAAGTACTACATCCAAATCTCTGGGGCAGACCTCGGGAACTACCTTGTACCCCAGCAGCTAGAATCCCAGGACCTGAATCCAACTGTCTGCATCAAATACTTGAATCCCTACCAAAAGCTAATCTGCCTGAACTTGGGGAAAAGCAACTCATTACCACACACCCCCACCCCCGAGAATTGCTCATTGCACTATAACACCTCCAGCATTACTTAATAGCAATATCATCATCAAAAAATGATTAGAGATCCCAAACCAAGAAACTACTATTCCGGGAAAGAATCAAAGCATTAAATTTCTTATGTTAACTCTGCAAAATAGTCCAGAAAACTGACAAGAAACTTAGTGTCTCAATTTGGGTATTGGCACAAGAACAGACCCATAGACCAATGGAACAGACTGGAGAGCTATGATATAAACCCAACCATATATGGTCAATTAATATACCATAAAGGAGCCATGGACATACAATGGGAAAATGACAGCCTCTTCAACAGCTGGTGTTGGCAAAACTGGACAGCTACATGCAAGAGAATGAAACTAGATTATCGTTTAACCCCATACACAAAAGTAAACTCAAAATGGATCAATGACCTGAATGCAAGTCATAAAACCATAAAACTCTTAAAAGACAACATAGGCAAAAATCTCCCGAATATAAGCATGAGCAACTTCTTCCTGAACACATCTCAAGCAAGGGAAACAAAAGCAAAAATGAACTCATGGAACTACATCAAACTAAAAAGTTTCTGTATGGCAAAGGACACCATCAACAGAACAAAAAGGCATCCTACAGTGTGGGAGAATATATTCATAAATGACAGAACCAACAAGGGGTTAACATACAAAATATATAAAGAACTTAAATGCCTCAACACCCAAAGAACAAATAACCCAATTAAAAAATGGGCAGAGGATATGAAGAGACAGTTCTCCAAAGAAGAGATTCAGATGCCTATCAGACACATGAAAAGATGCTCCACATCGCTAATCACCAGGGAAATGCAAATTAAAACCACAATGAGATGTCACCTCACACCAATAAGGATGGCCAGCATTGAAAACACTAAGAAGAACAAATGCTGACGAGGTTGTGGAGAAAGGGGAACCCTCCTACATTGCTGGTGGGAATGTAAGCTAGTTCAACCATTGTGGAAAGCAGTATGGACGTTCCTCAGAAAACTAAAAATAGAAATACCATTTGACCC